GGCTTTTGAGCATTAGGTCCGTAATCCGAATCTTTTTCGGAACGGAATTGCTTACGCACATGTTTCGCGTTCTTTGTTTCCTTTTGCTTCTCAGCCTTCTTCTGATTGTATTTCTTCCTCTGGTTTTCCATATTGCGTAAAATTACGGACGGTTTTTTCTTCATTGCCGTATTCAATCGCGACAACGCTCCTTTTGTGTTATATTGCAGAACAGCAGCAGCACATCTTCCTGTGTATGATCCTCTCTCGCCGAAATGTAATCTTTTTCCACTAATATACTTGGCAATGATTCCGTTGAAACTTTCCACAGTATTATAATTGCTGTTGTACAGCAAGCTCTCCGCATGAGCTAGTACTGGCCGAAATATTTCTTTTATCTGCTGGTAAACTCCTATCTTCATCAATTCTGGAACGATATTCTTTTCATTTTTTTTATTGGTTCCATCGCAAAAATAATGTAGTTGTGTACACTTTGCGTGTTCACCAAAAAAGTGGCTGGGAACATTCTGTATGTCACCGTACAAATTCTTGATTTTCTCGACGATTGCTACACTCTGAGTATACCTATACTCTGCGGCTTTTACGATGTCCGCGCGCATCCGCCGAATGCTACTTTCCACAGTTTGTCTTAGTAGTCCAGGTGTAGTCATCTTTACAATTTCTTTCATTTTTTTGCAGAAGTTTCGTAACAAGTGATTCGTGCATTCAATTTTTTTTACACGAATCTGCGCCTTATATGGGTCCGCATCTATAATTTTTTTATATACACTGCTGTTCCCATCAGCAATCAACGTTGAATAAATGAGCCCACGTTTTTCTATGCTGGTCGTGAAACCTTCAACTATAGTGTGGCTTTCCATAGCGGTCGATGCTTGATGCGTGCCCCAGTTCTTGAAGCACGTGTGTTCTCTGGGTTCTTTCTTCTTCTCCGCAGCACATCGACAAATATTGCAGATTTTATTTCGCACGCCGATAAATAAAACTTTTTTAGTGTGATATCCAATTATCACACCGGCACCCGACATAGAGTTATATATTCCAGTGCGGTAGGATCTCTTCATCCAGCTTCCGTCGGCCACGACGGGGATGTGGGGTATGCCGGATTCGGGAATAATGTCGCCTCTTTCAATGGCCAAGCATTTTTCTTCCTCGGCCGCTGCTATCATCTCTTCTTCTGCAGCATCAATTAACGAATTTACAATTTGATCGTGATGCTTTCTAAACTGTTTCTTCGACATGCAGGGTATGTTTATTGCTGCAAGAAATTCTTCCATTTGGGCATAGCTGCCCCCAGTGAGAATTGTTCCAGCCACGGCGCTCTGGTTGATGTTGATTTCTTGAGTTTCATCGGGTTGACTGTGGATCTCACCTTTGTATTGGCTCATAGTGCACATTACGTTGAGGGTGGTCGTCAGGCCCGATCGTTTCGTGCCGGTTATTTTTAGGTGTCTAATTCCACAGTCTTCTCTATTTATTGCATGCTCTCCTATTTTCTGCATTTCAGCAAACATGTGCTGCATGTCCACAACACTCAAGCCACTTGAGAAAGACGATTGTTCTTGTGGCGCGTTCATCCCTACTTCTTCTATGATGAAATTTCCTTGTTCGCCGGTTATACTATCTAAATCTGTGTTTTCTTTAGCCGTTTCAGTTTCCTCGTCTGATGGCAGGTAAATAATCTTCTCTGTGGTGTGCATTTGTCCACCGGATGTTGACGGTTCCTCTACATGTTGCTCTGCATCGTTCTTTTGAATGGCTAAATGCCGTCTCTTTTCACGGTATGCTTTTGCTTTCGAATATCTCTTCCTGAACACAGTTAATTTTACTCCACGACTTGTTTTCTTGCTCAAGCGGTTTCCTTCGTGGATTTCCTCGATACACACATTTTCGGTGTCACTCATTTTCTGTACACTGTACACGAACTTTCACTCCACTTACACAATTCACACTACAAAACGCGAAAAAGGATCGAATACTACGTGTAATCGACTCCACGTCTTGAAGCTAACTGTCACGAAGACAACACACGAGGAGCCTTTCGTCGTGTTTTGCTTTTAGCCAGCAGCGCGAAAATCGCAGCATTCCACAGTAAACAGAAGAGAAGTGACGCGAGAATAAAAATTTTAACTTGTACATTTTTCAATATATTTTTATGAAAATGTTACCAACAAAGTGAGGACATTCTCACGATGAAAATTAGTCCAAACACGACATCATTCGGACCATTTCTAATAAAAATGTCATTTTTATCGCAACATTACGTGTAAATAAAAATTGTTCATTGCGCTCGAATTTGTACGCATTTTCATCGAGAGAATTTCTTCAATGCATTCATGACATTTTCATTAATATATATTGCAGATTGTAAAAGTTTAAATTTTCATTCGTGCGTGATTCCTTATCTCATCTACGTTTGTTTACATTGTATGCCGATGGTCGGTCGCTGGCCTCGGACGTTCGACGCTCGACGCTCGCCAGCGCGTTTTTTCGTACTGGCAAAAGTTGTTCGAAGGTTTATTCGATGTCTTTGATTATAAGAGACTGTATGAAAGAAGAATAGAATTACAGAGGAAATATGGTGATATATCTCGAACGTATTTTCTATATCGTCTCGAACCGAAGAATGACCCTTCTCGACCGGGAGGTCCTTTCGTCGTTGTCAACGGAAAACTCATCAAGGGTGCGTGGCTAATTTACTACACCGTGGCCTCGCGCACGCATATTCACTCTTTATTCCATCTATTAAATAATACTCGCAGTGCTCACGCGTGTTACTCACTCTAAGGTTCGGCAGACAGTGGTTGCGCAGATGTCACACGCGCGCACGCTCGCACGCAAACCCGCAGTTCCGCTCGCGCGTTACCAACCCATCCCTACTCTTTATTTCAATATCCAACACCATCACGTCCGTTATGAAAATTCTAGATGTTTTAATTTTAAAAAAATCAATATTATCGATTAACGTTACAGCTGTTTTAAATCAATATGTTCTAGAATTTTCATAGACATCAGTGCGACAAAGATAGAGAAGGTATGTGTTTTGTTTTATTGAAATCTCGGGAAGGTACACACACACATACACTGTTACACACTATTCACACCTTACAGCTTACAGTATTATATATGAAAATCCTACAATGGAATCAAAAATGACGATGTTATTCAAATTGTTTACAAGAAAAAAGGTACCTATTTTTTGAAGCTATTTTTCGGTGATATAATTTTAAAAATTCATTTCATTCGAAGTCTATATGATAGTACAACTCTCAAAGAGTAAAAAATATAGGCGCTGTCTGCTGTCCGACTTGTCCGAGATGAAGAATTTAACTATTCCGGAGACGAGTTTGGGATAAATTAATGGCTTTTGTAAAAACTAAGAAATACTTAGTTCTGAAACTTGGCACACTTTTTTATCGTAATGTAGGCCAGATTCTCCTAAAAATTCGAAGCTCTATGTTCAAATCTCTCTGAGTATTAAACAATTAAAAGAAGATCTTATTTTGATAGTTTTAATTTTTTTGCAACCGAACATGTACAGTGATTTTAAAGTACTATATCTCATTTTGTAGATATTAAAAATATCTACATGTTTAATTTGACCCTTTTCTGTCTGATATCATTATATTTTCTTCTGCGCACGAAAAGCATGTTTTTCACACACTTTCAAATTTTTCTAATAATGTTCCACACAACATTTCAATTAGTAAAGAAAGTACAAACATTCAAGGTATAAGTTACTTTTTCACGGAAGAAACGTCAAAAGCATTTATCATTTTTTTAGGCATGATACACCTTACTCAAAAATCTGACAAAATTGCAATGAAACTGGTTATGAATATATATGTTATTACTGTAAAAACATAAATCTAGTCACTAAACTTTCATTAAGAAATTTGCATTTGTTAACATTGTTTAAGGTTCTTCATTTTTTCCAATTACAATTTTCAACCGAAAAATTGGAGAAAATTCTGTAATAAGTGACCCGGTATTTGCAATGTGTGAGACTTTTTTCACGATTTTTGCGTGTTTCTGAATAGGGAAATGCAGCGAAAACAATTTGTATTCGTACGTTATGTCGCGATACGAATTATATGTTATTAAATATAGTCTGATTTATGTCGGGTTTGGACTTATTTCCATCGAGAGAATCTCGTAAATTTATTCATAACATTTTTAAAAAGTACACTGAAAGGAGTAAAAGTTTAAATTTTTATTTATGGGTGATTCGTTCTGTGAGTTACATTGTAACCCGAGCGTCGGTCGGCGGCGGCTTATACAGTATCAGATAACATCTTTATTCGCCGAGGCTTGTCTCCGCTGACACGTCATAAAACTGTCATTCCGGCACGCTCAAGCCGGCCGAGCCGAGCCGGGGAATCGCTGGCCTCCAGCCGGCTCGATTACCTATCATTAGTAATGAGTAGGGTTGTAAGGATAACATCTAATTCTAAAAATAATTTATGTGTATACAACATAACATGTACGTATATATAAAAAAATTAAAATACTGAATTGGAAAACATTTATTTTCTTTTTTTTGAATGCCTTACAAATCAATATTTTTCACATTTTTATTTTACTGAGAGGTTACAAAGTGAAATCACAAAATAATTAAAAATAAAAAGTAAAACGGCCGCATTGAGATACGACGAGGGTCTCCAAGCTCCAAGGTCTCCTCATTGTTTACGTTGCCAAGTGACGTACCAATTGTCGGCGGAAAGACTCGAACGGGTAGTGCACACGGACAGGGCTGAGATATGCTTGTGTGTGCCAGTACGGTGGACGTAAAGTGGAAGGCGATAGTGAGAGACGATGGTACGTCGGAGTGGGGGAATGGTGGGGGTAAAGCGTCCCACGATTCTGGCATCACTGGGACGCGCTTCATTTAGAATCGAGTAATTGCAACGAGCAAAAGTAAGTATTGTAATACTGTAAATTATAATCCAGTACATATTTATCATATAAATATACATAAATTATTTTATTTACAGATGGAAAAAATGGACATAGCAAATACCGAAGAAGGAGAAAAGGGGTCACAAGAAGATGCACCCAAACAGGAAAAGGTGGCGGAGGAATCGAAAGAGGAGGAGGCGGATATAAAAATTGTGAGTGAAAGTATTGACTTTTCTTTATTATTATGCATATGTATGTGGGAAGCAAAAATATCGAACAATTTGTATCAGGGATGGAAAAAGAACCGTTTATGTGCGTGCACGCGTGTGTGTGCGTGCATGTGACGTATATCAGATTTTTCGCGAATACTCCGTATTCTAGATTCTAGAATATTCACGACGTAGCTGGCGTAATTAACAAAAAACAATCAAGAATGAATGTGTGTGTGCGTGCGTGAATTGCGACAAATATCAGAGGCAACGATCGCAACTGATCTGAACGATATCACGAGTATCGCGCGGCTGGATTTCTCCTTCCGATGATGGTGAGCAAACAGTTGCCCAACCACCGATATAAATGTACGAGTATTATTATAAGATCTAATTTTTATTTTACTGTTTTAGATAAAGAAGTTACTAAAAAAACTTATGTATGGTGGTGGCTGGCGCGGTAGCACGCGCAGAGGCCGGCGTGGTGGCCCGCGGGGAGGTCGGCGCGGTGGTGGGGGCATTCTCCCCATATATGTTAACAATTACTTTCAGTAAATGAAACATTTTTGATAATATGAAGATCGTACTTTTTTTTAAATCCTTCAAGTCCTTCCTTCCTTATCCCTGTGCACATATACAGGGTGTCTGTTTTATCTCTATACAGTCAAATATCTTTTAAGGAAGTGATGTTACGAAAAAAATGTTTTAACAAAAGGTTCTTGGTATAGAGGGGGACGTTATGTAGTGTAGATACTTTGTTTGTACCTGGTATAGTGAGAGAGATTTCAAAGTCAATTTAATTTTTTTAAATGGAATGTTATATTTTTTCATAGAGGATATGGTAGTGTATGTTAAGACGCATTCAATGAACTGCTAACAAAGTCATCTCCTTTCATAGAAGGTTGTAAAATTTCGAAAAACCGGGAGTCGGAACACCACACGTTCCTCACTGTCGCGTCGGTCTATTTGACCTCGTAAAATGCCAGCAGTTTACGTATTGTTGAAGACAATTGCAGGGCCAGTTTAATACAAGTCTTCAAACAATCAACAGTAAATTTTGTGGTCTTTGTAGTGAAAAGAATATCTTCGATAAAAAATGTTCTTTACGACTGAAGAAAAAGTAGAATTAGTGCTTTTAAGTGGTGATGAACATTTATCTTATCGAGAAGTTAGTGCCGAATTTCATAAGCGACATCCAATGAGACCAAAACCAACACCGACAACAATAAAAAATATCTTTTCATTATTTAAACGTACTGGAAGTGTTATAAGGCAAAGACAGCGATCTTCCATTACTACGGATAGTAATGAACTGAATGTATTGGCTGCTATTACACAAAATCCAAGAATATCTATTCGGACATTGGCTGCGAATGGTGGTATATCCAAATGGACAGCACATAAAATATTAAAAAAAAATAAATTAAAAGCCTTCAAGCCAACTACTCTCCACAAACTTTTTCCTCACGATTTCGGACCGCGTATTGAATTTTCTTTATGAGTATCCGAAAAAATCGCAGTAAATTCAGATTTCTCTAGGCAATTAATGATAACGGACGAATGTATCTTCCGTACAAATGAATTATTATGTCACCAAAATTCGCGAATGTGGGCTACAGAAAATCCATACTGGATCGAAGAGAATAATAACCAGTATCGTCAATCGCTTATGGTGTGGTGCGGTATTCATGACCGCAAATTAATTGGACCTTATTTTTTCGATCAGCCCATTAATGGTGTAGTTTACCTTCAATTCCTGAAAACGCGTTTGTGGAATGTCTTAGAAGAAATGCCACTCAATTTAAGGAACAGTTTGTGGTTTCAACACGACGGTGCTCCTCCTCACTACGCTCCGGCGGCCCGCAATTGGTTAAATGAAACATTTCAGAACAGGTGGATAGGACGTGGTGGGTCTGTAAACTGGCCGGCAAGGTCCCCGGATCTTTCATCTTGTGATTTCTTTCTTTCGGGCCACTTAAAAGGTATTGTGTTTCAAATGCCTGTTGAAAATCTAAATAATTTACGCAGAAGAATCACAAATGCATGTACCGAAATAACACAAGAAATGTTAAAAAATACTGAGGCAGCATTTATCAGACGACTGGAAAAATGCATTTATAACAATGGAGGTCGCGTGGAAGGGGTATCCATAAAAGGAAATGTTCAATAATTCAAAATTTAACACATTGGTAAGTATAAATAAACGTCACTAATTTATAGCCTTCAACTGTTTGCTAGCTTTACTTGATTGCAACTTCTTCAAAGGAAAAAAATTTCTCTCATAGTTGTGTCTGTCTTGTTCCAGTTGCATACGAGGTGAAACAGGCGTCGCAGGCCGACGCGACAGTGAAGAACGTGTGGTGTTCCGACTTACGGGTTTTCACAATTTTACGACCTTCCATGAAAGGATATGACTTTGCTAGGAGCGTATGGAACTCGTCTTAACATACACTACCATGTAGTTATGTTCATATTATGTATGAAAAAATATAGCATTCCATTTAAAAAAATTAAATTGACTTTGAAATCTCTCTCACCATACCAGGTACAAAAAAAGGATCTACACCACATAACGCCCCCCTCTATATCAAGCAACTTTTGTTATAACATTTTTTTCGTAACATCACTTCCTTAAAAGATATTTGACTGTATAGAGATAAAACAGACACCCTGTATACAAGAAAGTCGAAAAATCGTTGTTAGTTCAAAATCTATTTCCGCTGGTTGACAAATGAAAAGATTGAGGAAGCGTATGCGATTAATTGTGTTCTTTTTGCATCTTTTTATGAAATATATGTTTAAGTATATAACATCTGCATTAATTAGGTCAATAAATGATAAATAACTATTGTTTCTCGGGAATGCCATTTCAAGTATTTCGTATGTAATAAAAAAAATTAGCATCATTGCAAGTACAAATAGAAAAGGTTTATCGTTGCACACATTAGTACGTAAGTATTGCTTCATTCTTGAATCTCTTTCAGTCGCACCATTCTGTTCCTATGTTCGGCGAGAGTCGAAATCTCGCCACAAGCCGTAGGTATTCCATCGTTCTCCTGATGGGCAGAATTGTCGAATGGCAACAGCGTAACAAAACAATTGATACGATCCAGCACGTGTTGCGAGGTTACATATACCGACTTCCCTCTGTTTTATCGATGCTCGGTGGTAACATGGCCAAAGTGACTGACAAATACCATAAGCGCCGCTAGTGGAGAATCCTTGAACTATACCAGTGTATATTCCTGAGCCTGGACGCGTCAAATCGTAGAATCCAACTTACGCCTTCCACAAGTGATAAATTAACAAAAATCGGATTTCTACGATAGTGTGACAGTGGTGTACAGGGTGGTCTGGTCAGCATTTGACGAGAAAACAACTAAATCGTGTGATATTTGACAAAATGTGACTTGAGCAGCCATCTTGTGTGCTTCATCGGCGTCTTTCACAATCGCACAATTTCTAAAATTCTAATTCTTTCAATTAAAATGTGTTTATTGGTGTTTATACGGACCAGACCACCCTGTAGGGAAGTCTACCCGTGAGTTCTATACCAGTGAAAAGTGCATTTGTGCAATTGTCGAGGCAGAAGTTGGATTCTACGGAATCGAATGTCTCTCTCGTGTATCGCGTATACATACACGGTTCCCGTTGATTGTGTGAGCGCACGGACACAGCACACGGGCCACGGAGTCTCCCCCCTTAAAGAACGAAATAAAGATTGTCTGGCTACGTACTGCCTTTTTCACTGTGGCACGGAACGTAAGATATCGTAAAATATCTTTAAGGTGTTTAACCATAGAAACTGAAAAAATGGTCAAATAATATGTACAGAATATCCGGTTTAACTATATACACGCTATTATTTCTGTAACCATTGAAAATGCGAAGAAATGTTTCATATGAAAACTGTTTGATTTCATGAAGTTAACTTAATAGAATATTTGAATTTTTCTACTATTGTTATTTACATAGATTCTAATACCAATGTAACTTTTTTACAATGGAACTACATATTAGTTTACTGTTGTCTTATTAAACATTTGAAGACGAATTCAACGACATATTTAAATGTTTTATTTGAACAACAACTTCGCGGACAACTGTATGAATATTTGGTGGCAATTTCATTTCACATCAAGCGATCAGAAAGTACAGTACTTAAATACTATCAGAGGAATCATAACATAGCAATAATAACTTTCTTGTAGGTTGAGTAGGAGTTACATAACAATTCGTGACATATTCAAAATTTTGTATTTAAAATATGTCACGAATTATTACCTTTTTCACATAATACCTTAATACTTTATTACGCAGAATGTTTGGAAGAATTGATTTATGTAATAAAAGTATTTTATTCCATACTATTTCAATATCATTAATAAAAATAACATAATTAACTTTGAAAACTTAGAAGATACTCCACCTATGAAAAACTTGGTACTGCTAAGTAAACTACGGCGCACTCTACCAAAAAATCTCAAAAAAATTGAGGATACTACTTATGATAATATGTTGATACTGTAAAAGGATAAATGTGGTGCCATTAAACCTTCAATAAGAAAAAATATTTTTCATCACTTCTGATTTTTCACAACTAGGATACTCAACTGAACAATCGCAAAAAAATCTCTGACACGCGCCCCGATGAATACTGCCTATCAGATTTTTTACAGAATTTTTGCGCGTCATTAAATAGGGAAAATAGAGGAAAAACCGATAATCCGAATTTTCTCTATTACGACCGTCCTAGTCGAGATAATAGAGGGTTGAAACTTAGCACAAACTGTTTTTCTTGAAAAGCTATCGAATTGTATATTACAAATTCAAATTGATCTAAGGGCACTTTTGACCCCCTTATCCTGTTATACCCTTTCTCAAAAAGTGAGGGTGCTGGCGAAAAACCATTTGCAGAGTCGCATTCAGGGCACAAAAATCTATGAGAAACTGCTATTGAATGTTACAAGTCCGAAGAAAAGTTACAATTTGTTGAATGGTCTAATCAACGAAAATAATCTATTTATAAATTAACACGGACGCGCAGTAGTGTCGACTGGATTAAATTCTTAGTAGATTTCTTTGGTTGCAGCCTTCGAACGAGCAATCACAGGTGAACCATACTTCCAACCAGAAGGAACACCGAAGACAGAAAAATGCATCCTCGAGCAGCACTTACAGCGTCTTCCGTCATTGGCGGAGGAGCACCTCTGTGGGCTCGAAAAGGTCTAACTCGACCAGAGCTCAACCCGAGACTCCAAATGATTTGGCGGCAATCCAGAAAATGGAACAATTTCCTATGGTTTTCTCCGATGCCACCATGCCTGAAGAGGACCTCTCGTTAAAATTTCTAGCCCTGGTAATGGCTTTTCTTGATCCTGAAAATTTGTCTTTAGTAACTGGGTACGAAAGATGGTCATGAAATAAACCCTCAATAAAAAAAGATACTGTTTACAACTAACGACAATTTAGTAGCTAACAGGGAACCTACAAAAATCCAAATCGTTTTCAATTATACACGTTCATGTACACACGATCAAAGATTAACAAAGTAGATAAATACAAGTAAGGTATAAATTATACGAGCATTATGATACAATGAAATCCATTAAACTTTAGGTGAAAGCATAAAAAGATGAAAAAGAAAAGTGAAGGTACAGCCGAGTATAAATGACGGGTTGGCCCACTTTTTTCTGATTAACCCCTTGCCCTATGATTTTCTTGATGTCTGCGGTCTCCAGAATTACTTTATCATCAATAATGCCCCAGAAATAAAACGAATTCGTCTACTTATTTCAATTGTACATTTACTCTAAAAGTTAAATATTAATGTCAGCAAACTAGTACAGTGGACTCTTATTATATTGCCATGATCAGGGCTGTAGGAGAGTAAAATGGCAATGAGTTCAGAACCCCCTCCATACTAAGTTCTGTCGTCATAGCCTCGGTCTCAGCGCATGCGCAAAAGCTGGATCGTACTGGTGCGCTGGCGTACGCAACGTGGTGGGAGAACGAACTTGTGTGCTCGAAAGTACGTTTGAAGGGGAAGTGCCTCGTGTGGCAATATGTTTAGTGGCAATATAGTTAGAGTCCACTGTATTTAACTTTGACTCAAAGAAAATTAATATTAATTCTGTTTGTTGAATCCGTCTTGGTATCGTTACCACGAGTCCGATTCGCTGTTTTAAAGCAAGGGGTTAACAGCTTGATGAGCTTCTGTAATGACAAAGTGTCATTACAAAAATAGCCATTGTCGTTAAATTGAAACAGAGAAAATATTGATCTAAAATGACGATTAAGTTTCGATAATAATTCATTTAAAAATTTTATTTTGCTGATATAGCCAATTCAGACAATACAGTTTGTTGACTCATTCGATAATTTTACCGAATCGATAATAGCCGAAAACTGCATTCACACGTACAAACAAAGGAAGTAAGCATACGCGTGAGAGCTGAATTTTCGGTGAAGGAAAGGACTAAATGACCGTGTAAATTTTATCGACATATTGTTGAGACCTTTTTATTTAAAATGATACTAAACACAATATTATTTGGATCATTTCTAATTTATCAGAAGCGATAACTCTTCATTATTTTCTTAATTAGGTTCATAGTTATCTTTCATTATCGTTTCTGATAAATTAGAAACGATCCAAATTATATTTTGTATGACGTCATTTTAATTAGAAAAATCTCATCAATATGTCAATAAAATTTTGTAGGACAAAATAATCAAAAATAAAAATGTGTCATCGTTGCATTTGTATTGTTTCACCGATACGCAGGCTTTCAATCTTTTGTTGGCTCCCACAAACTTTCAGCCCGTGTGTCGGCTTGTGAAAAGGAAGCCGCTGACGTGTTACATTATTTACTGGATTGTTTCTATGGCAGCCCCCTCCCCCAAACAGTACTGGGGATGAAGAAAAAAACTATTATAGAATCAACCTTACCCAGCATTTATTGAAAAAACACAGTATTACCTCTCAGCAACCCAAATACAAATACAGCTTTACCTTCCGGTCCATTTTATTGTAAATAGAATAAGAAGTGATAGACTAGTTAGCTGCGTTTTCGTTGCACATGTATAAGAATTTTAATTATAGAAAAGGAAGATATTTCTTGTTGAACCAATATATACATGTCCAAACAACCGTCACCGGAGTAGTTGTTTGAACATTAATTCAAAATGCTTGTTTGCTAAATATTACAAGTGTCAGCTATCACTGGAGCATCAAAACCAGTACCTCGTAAATCTCCCATGTTCAGGCTTCAAAAATCTCTCATGTTTTAACCTCGAAATTATTCTTTCTAAATTAAAGCATCAATGCTTCCGTCATTAATATAACAGAAATACTGTCTTATTTCTCATTGCATTATTCTGAAACTTTCACCAAAGGTTTGATGGTAATTTCTAGACAAAAATCAGATGGAAATTCATTCAGATAATCTAAATTTATAAACGCGTCACAGGCAGTATATTTTGTCAAATGCAATATTTATTTTTAAGGAAATCGATAGTTTGTGCTGTTTCCATAATGTCTACGCTCGTTCTTCAATCCCTTCAGTTCTTTTTTTAAAGAGAAGTAGTATCATTTTGAATTTTAAATGAATTACCAGTTCATTAAAACAAATAGTGATAGACCTTATACATAGTACAGGGTGTAACAAAAATGTTGGAGGACCCGGAAATGGGAGACTCGTGAGGTGATTTAAAATAAGTTTTTCCTTAGCAAAAATGTTATCCGAGGCTTTGTTAACAAGATATTAACGAAAAACCCCGACGAATCAGAGCGCGAGTATACCGGCCGAGTTCCCGCGGTAAGATTGGCTACGCGCTGCGATTGGTAGCCAACGTTATCGCAGGTGCTCGGCCGGCGGACTCGCACTTTGATTGGAAGAGGTTTTGCGTTAATATCTCGTTAACAAAGCCTCGGATAACATTTTTACCAAGGAAAAACTTGTTTCAAATCACCTCACGAGTGTCCCATTTTCGGGTCCTTCAACCTTTTTGTTACACCCTGTATAAACTTCCGTCGATTATCGTCCAGAACTCGTCCAAACTTCGAACAGGCAGAAATGCTTTAGACCATCCTAAATTCGTTTTTTGCACGAAGTCCGAGGCACGGCAATGAAAGCAGGAGTGGGGGGGGGGTCAGAAAGTATGCGCTTGGCCGGTTCCACGCCCCCCACTCCCCAGTGGTGGTGATGACACCCGAACAAAAATCGTGTAGAATCAGTCAGACAGTGATCGACGGAAATCTGTATTCCTGTTATTGCTCATCAACTCGTTTTCATGTACAATGTTAAAGCTGACTTACACGTCCACGCTGTTTCTTTGCAGAACGCTTTAGATCTAACGGCACCAGCCAGTGACGTTTTACTGAAGAACAGATTGAAATCCTGGTTCCAATTATCAGGCCATCCGGATGGTTTCGCGCCAGCCGGTCCCGGCACAGTTTGGAAAAGGAAAACTGGAGGGACGGAGAATACAGAAACAATCGTTTACGAGGCTCTTAGCAAAGATAAAGAATTACGTGATTGCATACCGAGGTGAGCAGACGTTCCTCGGGTTACCTGAAGTTACTCTATGCTGAAAATTACCTCACGAAACTTTTATTAGATCCAGAAATTAATGTTTTGCTCAAATTACCATTATTACCAGACTGCTGGTGCTTATAGTCCAATCGAATTAGCCTGCAAAATCCCTATTTTAAAAAATAATTCTAATTAGTTAATTTTCCCACGAAATGGTTGGAAAGACCATTTTAAAGAAAAGAAATCAAAGTTCAAGTCAGGAAATGAAATGTATATGTTTGAGACATGTGAATTGTTGGGGAACATTGTTAAAAGAATTCGACGAAGTCTGAGAAACGTGTTTTTCGCATGCAGAAAGAAACGCAATGATTTTAAAGAAAAAAGTTAAAGCGAGCGCGTTACCGCGTGCGTGTGGCCCGCAATTCGGTCAGGTGCGCAGTTCCCCTTCTTAAGCGATAATCAGATCGTTATTGTGTTTTCCAGTGACCTCTGACTTTCATATAGTTGCTTTATAATCGTACATCGATCACCGCGTGTTTTACCATTCTTTTCATCCGATCAAATCGTTACCACACACGTGGACCATAGCCTTTAAGCTATAACCGTTAAATTATGCCACCATGAGACGTCAATTGTGCTTTATTATGTTTATTAATGTGAGATCAGTGCATACAGTTTTTCATATTAAATAAAACTACGAGCATCTCCATTAAACCAATCCGAAAGTCAGTTTATTTCTACCGCCCCGATCGCAAATTCCCCATACGGGATAACACCAGCTCCGAAACAGTTTATAATAATGATGTTATGGTTGATAAATAGCGACCATTAATTACCTACATGAACTTAATCCACCTAAATATGGCTAAATATCATATGCTATCTTGGGCTGTTCATAAATATAGTTCATTCTTGTATACGACTAGTGTTTCAAAGATTACATATAAATCTAATTTCATTGAATTTTTTTGTGTTCGTCAAAAATTTTCATAATCATAAAAAAAAGGTTTGATTTTTATGTTTACTTGCCAAAATATCATGTATAATAAACGATCTGCTTTGTTTAAAATTTTTAAAATCATCAAAAAAGTTTGATTAATGAATTTACGTTTAATAAATGGTCTGCGGCCGCCAGGTGCGGAAGCACCTTTTGCACCCCCACCAGACACGGCCCTGAATTCACCAATTGGATCAAAACTTCAGTTATAAATGGCGACCAACGTAGGGTGCGCGCACGTGTGAGTATGCGTGTGATCTGGGGTATTCCTACCGGTATTTTAACGTGCGCTACTTCAACGTCAGTCTACTGTACCTACAAAATGAGATATAGTGTGTTAAAATCGGTCCACATATTAAGTTCCGAAAGAATTAAAACTGTCAAAGTAGGCTCTTTTTTCAATTGTTTAATAGTCGGAGAGATTTGATTATAGAGCTTTGAAATTTTAGGAGAATATAATCTCCATTGCGACAAAAAATATGCCAAATTTCAGAGTGAAATTTTTGTTCGTTTTCACAAGAAGCCATTAATTTATCCCAGAGGTGCTCCGTAAATGTTATACTATCATGTAAATTTCCAGATGAAATTAATTTTTTAAATTAAACCACCCAAAAATGGTTCCAAAAATAGGCGTCTTTTTCGTAAACACTTTGTTCGACTACATGTAATTGCTGTATAAACCATTCGATAATTGCTATTTTTCTACAAATTTTGAAACAAGATATTTGACATGAAAAGAATATCTACATTGACTAGGAAACTAGGAGACCTGATTATTATTTTTCTTTAAATTACTGTAACTTTAATTTTTAACAGGGAGAGTTGAAATTTGGACAAAGCTTTGAGGAATAGTTAAATTATATGTTCCTCAACTTTCTAATTAATCCATTCAAAGACTTCTCTTATAATCATCGACATAGTTTCGGTATGCTAATGAGACAACGCGAACTTGACGAAATATTGTAGAGATCTAGGGTTCTGGTCTCACATAGACTAGAGACACTACAATCAAGGACTGGGTACGTGACGGCTACTTTTGATTAGTTCGCCATGTTTATGCCATTCCCTCATGCTGATTTTAAAATCTTTTAATTATACAGTGGACTCTAAGTATATTGCCACGCGAGGCACTTCCCCCTCACACGTACTTTCGACCACACGAATTCGGTCTCCCAACAAATTGCGCACGCCGGCGTACGATAAAACGTAGCATGGAGGGGGCTCTGAACTCATTGCCATTTTACTCCCCTACAGCCCCGACCATAGCAATATAGTTACAGTCCACTGTACTAATATTAATTGTAACATAATTTCCAGAAAGTAAATATTTGAAAGTTAGATAAATATCTTGAACTCGGTGTTTAGGTACAATATGGCTTACTTCATAATGTACTTATCTAATAATAGTCGGCAGATGTCGTACTTTCCTTCATGTGCGCTCGAGAAGGACCAAGACTGGGATTTGACTCGGCCGACGTAGGATGTAGGTAGCAAATCTGTGAATATGAATAGATACGGATATTTAATGTCGTCATAACACTGACTATCGGGACTATTTTTCCGGACGCGAGTACTACACGTGACGGGCCGTTTGTTGGGTACGTGGTATGACGACAATTAACCACAAATTAATGGTTCGATGGTGTATATATAATATTGCCTTCGCTGACAGTATGCAATCTAGATACATATGTCATGATTTAACGTGCAGCTCCTGCCTTGCGGCTTAATCCACACGGCCCCCATGCTTGCAGAATTGGGATACGCTTAATTAACGCGTGGGGATTCCGCGGAGAGGTAAAGGCCCCCACTATTAGAATTGATGTCTGGATATGAGCCCTAGACGTATCCACTCTAATGGGTGCGAGCACCTTTCTAAAAGGTCTACCGGCTCTGCAGGCCGGTGCCCGATTGTAAATTTCTGCAAGTCCATGGTGGATGCAAAGCACCCTGCCCCGCGATATTGGAGCTACGACTGCCACCACGAAGGTTCTATCTCAATCGGATAGACGGGAAAGCCGGGGATAAACGCCCAGCTATGTCTCAGGGCTTGGGAATACCGAGGACTCAGTCGACCCGCGTGTCTTTCACCCAGTCTCCCGTGGTACCATTTTTGAGAATAGTTTTTCCTTCGAGCAAACGTTAATTTTAACGATAGCGCTACCAGTCTAGTTATCTCGTAGTTCATGACACTGTCCAGACAACTCTAGAGAGATCGTCCGGGATCGCCAGTTCCCGTGTGTCAACTTTTACGACACCCTTGGACAATGACATTATGCAATCTGAATACAGGGCAACGTTCCTGCAGTTGCGGCGGAATTTCTTATGTCAGAAGTGTTTCAATCATAATGACAAAAACCTTCCGGACGAGCCCTCAATCGTGGGATTTTTTATAATAAGTGTGCACGTGTTTACAAATAGGAATTGAAGTTTATTAATACTAAGGTATATATATAATACTCAACGATACTCTCCACGCAATGCCCCAATCAACTCTGACTTCTCATGCGTTGACCCGAAGGTCCCAATGCCCTTTCCACGCATACAGTCTGGAAAACCCCCACGCCACATTCACACAGAGTAGATGCATTCTCAGAAAACGAAACTGTACGCTTGCCACATGGCCTCGCTTCCCTCACACCATGCATCCCATTAGTTCTTTCACACTTCCCATTCGTACTTATCATTCCGCTGATTCGGTGGTCCACAAGGGCCTGGGCCTAGACGATTCTATAAACACTAAGGCGCCAAACTTCCAATTTCCACTACACTGATATAAACAATCCAGCAATACTACATTATTAAAAAACATTACTTATTAATTTTGTATGCTTTTAATAAATATGAACATTAGATATATGCTTGCCAAGTTCGGTTTTGAAATTTCCATTTTTACACCCAAATTAAGCTTCTGAACTCTTAAATCGGCGTTTTGTGCCACTTTTCGGCGGACGGCGTAGAGGGAATGATAGTTTCCCCAGACTGACTAGCTTCGCTCGTCCCGTAAGTCGGAAGGAGGAGACCCTTGGGTGTATGCGCTGCCCTGGTGAACACCTGGGAGGGCGCAGGGGTCAGAATGGTCGGTCAGTGGGGTCTACCCGTTACTGACGAATAGCCAAGGTTAAAGGCCAATTTGCCAATTTTCAAATAGGTCACAATTTCAAATCTATTCGATTTCGTGGGCCATTTTAAAACTTTAAAAGAATACGCGGTAACATTTGACAATCGCTGAATATCTCTGCTTTGGTATTGTGTTGTTTTCCACGAATGCGTTCAAACAACTGAATATTATCGTAAATTGTCGAAGAAGCGTTTACTTTCATAAAGTTGGGCGAATTATGTTTTGTTTTAAAAATCTATATTACATTTAATTACTACTACTTTTTTTCATTACAATTTTTATACTTTATTATTATTGTTATTATCTTTATTTATTTTACATTTTATTATAATTATACCTCCCAAAAACAATGTTGGGCAAAATTTTATAAAATTGTGTGCCCACGAGGCTCACTGCAGGATATGTGGTAAAGGTTTAAAAACAAGTCGGTATACTTCTAATTTAAATTCTTTTTTAACACTAGGTTTACGGGCACTTATCGTGTAGGTATCTCCACGGCACGCATGAACGAACCCGCAGATTTTCTTTAAAAAACAACTTATTTTATATAATACACAATTTATGATCTCTGAAATTAATGCATAGCTATAGAGATAGGTATACCACATAGAGAATTTCGAGGTTAGAAAGCATTCGAAATGCGTCAAAATGACGCGTCCCGTAAACCTAGTGTTAAAAGTGTATATAGTATTAGCCTACAATTAAATGTGTCACCAACTCTCAATTTAAATCCACCAACTAATGATGTAAGTACATATACAGGGTGTCTCAAAATAGCTGTAAGTCCTTGAATAGGGTGATTTTTAAAATAACTTTGTCCTTGGCGAAAATGTGGTATAATGTTAAATTCATTAATATTTTTACGCAGTGTACCAGAAAAATAAAGTTTAATTAACTTTCTTCTAAAAATTTCTTTTAACTGAATTTAAAATAATATTGATAATAGAAACATTGATGTTTTACTACCGTGTTGCAATCCTCGTTCGTGTCACGTAGCGGTGTATGTCATAAGCTCCAGAGGCGGGAAGTTTGAATAGAATGACACATGTGATAGGAAAGGAGGGTAAAAGTGAAGTTGACACTGATTGAAGAAGTGTGAAATCTGTTAGAGATCCTTTTAATAAACGCATTTCAAGATTATGAAATAATCAATATTCACTTAGAAACGAATTTTTAAACATTTGCCAGTTGCCTTCGCCTCCTACCTAGCACCCAAATCATTGTAGATATGTAAATCGCTCGTTATCGATAACCGGGAAGAAACGCATCGACGAATCAGGATAAATCTTAGAAATGAATAATTATAAGATTGGTCAGTAGTAACTAAGGACATTTTGTAATTAAACAAAAAGGTCTATGAAGAGAAATGAAGACATTCATTCCATCGACAACATTGTAATAGAAAAGACGTATAAAATTACCTTTGTCAATTAAATTCGGTTTTTCCTTTATAATTAGTTTAAAATCATTTATTGTAATAGTTTAAATATTGTTCCAAAATTTAATTTAAATCTTAATTGCAGTTTATTATTATCGTTATAATTTCCTTTTATTTACAATTATCCATAAACCTATCGCGTTTCACTGTTCAATTACATTGAGACTCAGGATTCCCTGAGGGCCCACGCAACAAGCGATATATCGGGTAACATCGATGGTAATCAATCGATGGCACTTAATATTAATATATCGATGTTTTTGCATTTTTTGCCATACCTAGCCTCGCGTCGCGTTGATATTCTTTTTATTTCAAATAAACACAAAATTAGTTATTGTAGTAAAATTTACTGATGGGCCATTGCGATTAATCATAAACAGAATATAATAAACAAAGGTTTTGTACTTATTATTTCAACGCAAATTTTCAAGAAATAATGAGTTGGTCATTACGTTAGTAAGGTCGGGCTAAAGTTCACTTAATCGGGTTAAAGCACAAAAACACTTTATTTGTATTCCAGTTAGAATTATTACTTTGGCATTATTCCGTAAAATCCACTCACAACCCCCCGCATCGCCAGTGCGTTAACACCGAGCATCTATTTATTTCGGTAATATTTAATATTTCATTATTACTTACTACTACGCAACAACACTACACGACACATTTGTAATTAAAGACTGATTAATTATACCGTTATTTTATAAATATGTGTAGTTCATTTTGAATCCATAACACGATCCAGAAATCTCTAGTATTATCGATATACTAGTTTCCTCTAGTTTAGAATAATATCAGGTCGACCGTTCCCACACTAATACAACTTTACCGCTCGAGTTGTATTAATTATAAATTCAAAGGTTTTGATCTTCGAATTTACTATGTTACAGATACTACCGAGAAGTAGAGTACAAAGGTGAGACCTTCATCGAGTTGCAGGATCTTCTTTTCGGCTTCAACGATCCTCACGTAATGGACATTAAGATGGGCACAAGAACGTTCCTTGAGTCCGAGGTATCGAAGACAACTGCTCGACCGGATCTCTATCTAAAGATGATTGCTGTCGATCCTAACGCTCCAATGAAGCAAGAAAACGAGCAGCATGCCGTGACAAAATTACGATACATGCAGTTCCGTGAACAGCAAAGCTCGACCCGCAGTCACGGGTTCCGAATCGAGGCTATGAAGTTACCAGGAGCGCCGCCGATTACATTAAAGAAGGTGAAATCGCACCAAGAAGTCCTCGATACCATGAAATATTTCTTGGGGACGTGTGGGGCAACTTGCGAGAAGCTGCTTGTTCGTCTGAAGAATCTTCGATTCAAAATTGAAAAGTCCGAGTACTTCAAGACTCACGAAGTATGTAAGAGAAAATTTTAAGTAATAATAATTGTTAGAAAATTAATTTAAATAATATAAATAAAAATTTATTTTTTATCGTTTGTATCAGGGTTAATTAATATTAATACATTTATATTCTAAATCTCCACTTGGATCAATTTAAATTATTCCAAACAAGAAACCACGTTAAGCAATCGAAAATATGATGGATCTAAGAGTGTGCAAGAATTTATGTCCGTAGAAAATAATCGTTGCGCCGAGATTCCGTGGTACCATTTGTTATCTGCTACCTCCGTTCGATCACTTTTCAAATCGACTTGTTGGTCTTACATGTCGTATGAAACTTAACAAAGTCATTGGAACCTACTCTATCTCTACTTATTTGTACTTAATTTCAACTCCTTGTATGGAACAGTCTTAATTTGCAGTTTGGTTACTAAGCTGAATTTTATTAATTAATTTATTTACTTGTTTGTTACATTTATGTTATAAATAGCGCTTTTTCATTCAAGCTATAGTATATTATTTGGCACTGAAACTTACAGTTATACATATAACCATTCGGTTAAGTATGTATAATTAATTATTCTGAAAAAAAAAATTAGCATCCAGCAGAAGCTGATAATACTTAAAACATTATTAACAAGAAGTACCTCATTTCAAACTCTCATTGTATCTACAGGATGTAACAAAATGTTGGAGAAACCAATTGCAGCGCGTAGCCAACGTTACCGCCGGAACTCGGTTGGCAGACTCGCGCTCTGATTGGTCGAGATTTTTCGTTAATATCTCGTTAACAAAGCCTCGGATAACATTTTTGCTAAGGAAAAACTTATTTTAAATCACCTCACGAGTCTCCCATTTCCGGGTCCTTCAACATTTTTGTTACACCATGAATACAAAATTTTACTTATGATAAACCCCACTAAAAATTGCATGTCACTTTCAATGCGTTAATCAAATTAACACAATATACTTATTCGTAGACAAAAACTTTAATTTAACAAACTGAATCGTTTTTTTGAATCGAATTTTTCAGATAATTGGAAGTAGTATCTTTATAATCTATGACGACGACAAAGTTGGTGTATGGTTAATTGACTTCGGTAAAACGCAAGCACTACCAAATGGACTCAGAGTGACACACAGACGGCCATGGGAACAGGGCAATCATGAAGAAGGATTTTTATTTGGTCTCGACAATCTTATTTCAACGGTAGAAGAAGTTAATTTTTCAAAGGCTACATAGTTTCCTGTCGCTTGTAAATATGCCTCACCGTCGATTTGTTACAGTTACCTTTAAGGGCAATAATTTTTATTTACATTTACAAAGTACCCAAGGAATATTTAACTTTCTCTTACAATTAGAAAATAACCTTTATTCATTGTACTAATATTTTAACACAATTTATAATATAAACAAGCATTTGTAATACTGACAATTTCATGAACATTTTCCAATCGATTCAGTGTTTTTCAAATTTTTTTGTACATTCGTCTCATTCGTGCGTTCAAGATGACAAACTGCAATCGTACAAATTATTTTAAATATGTGGAAGCAGCACGAAACAGATTGAAAAACATTGATATTCCGATACTCAATGTAGAAGACTATTTTTTACTGCATTTTTCTACAAACAGTTTTAGTGAAACATTTATCACCATGTGACTTTGTGATAGTAACCTACCGATGTGAATCAGAAATGATCCCGGCTTCGGACACCCCGCGAGTCCAGTACTCAGAGGGTTAAGGTATTATGTGAAATATGTCACGAACTGCTAATTTTTTAACTTTGTACCCTAGTATTTTTTTTTATGTACAATATCTCAAGTAATCGAGTTATGTAGCAAAAAAATGTGCTGTTAAAATCTTCGAAAATTCTCGACCTACAAGAACATTGTTACGGCTATGTTATAGCACAGATGCGATATAAGAATAGACCTAACATGCAATGAAATTTTCTATCCCATGCTTCGGGGCGTCAGAAGCCCCCGTACCATTTCAGTATTCCATTCCTTGCTAGCGAAACCGGGGCAATTATGTATGTATATGCATCGATATGCAGTCACGGGCAGGGGGTCGGCACTTCCATGTTAACAAATGTAATAGTGTTTTTGGCGCCGCCACAGTTAATCTGCGGAAGTAGGACAACTAAACTGCAATATGACGTAATGTGACTGGTGTTTCAAATAAAAAATGAATACGTAACAAGTTAGTCTGACAAAAATGTTCTCGCGATTTCTCCTATTGTCTAAATTCATAGAGAAAATATGAAAAATGTTTGTTTTTTTTTTCATATTTTCTCAATGAAATCAAGACAATATGAGAAATCATGAGAACTGAAAAAGCTTATTGTGCAAGGAAATTCATAAAAAGGGAAAGTAATAATTTTATACAATGTATATGTGATAGGAAATACATTTATTATGTGAAATAAGCAAAATTTTCTCACATGGTGTAAGAAATGATTAAAAAAAATAGAAAAAAGGAAAATGCATTTTCAGATACGCTTGTACAGCTTGCACCATAATTAAATTCTGCGCCCGTTCTTAGGAGTCTTTTCCCCAAAGTAATCGATTTGTGTTTAGGCATCATACTTCTCTTGTTATATCCTGTAGTTTCATTTCCACTTTTCCTTGCATATTTTTTCCGATCACCTTTACACGCAAAGAGCGAACGAGCACCGTCAATTCAGCGACACGTGGAAGCCACGCGCGTAGTCGACCTTCCTCGAGACGCTGACCGGCGGAAAACATCCGCATTTTCCAAAGTCCGCCACGACAATAGCCTGTTGCTACCCTGTATCTTCCACGTTCTTCAATAAAGGAAGAGGGGAAGGACCTATAAAACGATTGTCCAAACCGGGGAGACTGTCTTAGTATTTCGACTCTAGGTACTTTTCGGCTCGTGTGTCGCTTCTGCCACGACAAGTTCGTTCGCTCTTCGACAGTCGCGCTTCGCTTCAACTTTACATGCGACAGCGAGCTGAGTGTTAACGGTCATTCAGCTGTTCAGTTTCGGGTTTCCGCGACGATATCTCTTCCTTGTGCGACGCGACTTCGCGCTTACGCGCGACCTAACAGGCGAGTTTTATAAGACACCGGACCGCGAAGTGCAACGTCCGAGACGGTGACAACGTATCCCGCAGTGCCTAAACCCTGTATCACGGCTCCGAGCGCCAGCAAGTCTTCCGCCTTTCAAGGACCCGAAATCCCGATCGAACCGACTGAAAGCCACACGAATCTATCATTCATCTTCATCATCATTGGTATGTTAAGATGTATTTGTATCTTTTATTTATTTGACTGTTAGAATATATCTTCGTTGTTATCATAAACGAGACTGATTTCCTACCCCTCCCGTTCCCTACTCCTAATTGCGTACTTCTCCGGTAAGTTTTACAGAGTGCTTTAGCACCTTAAAACAGCCAGGAACCGAAATTATAAATAAAGTAACGACTGCGACGCGGGACGTAACAAATATATTCATCTTAGAAGGTTTCCGCCGAATCCATTTCCTGCAAGTTTGTCGATTAGTACATAGTGAGTTACTTTGTCGAAAGCTTTCTTTAAATCAAAGAATGTAGCATCTACTTGTAAGTTTGAATCTAGCACTTCAGATATTTCATTACAAAAAACTGCTAAGTTTGTGCTGGTCGAGCGTCCAGTTAAGAAGCCATGTTGATTATCGCTTATGATATTTGACAATAATGGGCTTAATTTGTTAACGATAATACTCTCAAATATTTTAGCCATGGTGTTCAGTAAGGATACAAGGTTTATAATTTGCAATATTGGATTTCTCACCCGTCTTGTAAATGGGTGAGATAATGTTTGTTTTCCATAATTGAGGAAAGTGTCCTGATTTTAATGATGCTTTGAATATGAGCCAGAATGGTCTGGAGAGTACAAATTTGCATTTCTTTAAGAAAATAGCCGATATCCCATCTATTCCAGGCGATTTATTCGTTGACAATTTATCTATTTCTGTTAGAACGTCAGTTATGTCTATTTGTAGATCCGAGATGTCTAATGTACTGTTATATTTATAATTGTCCATTGGGGGTAGTTGTGAGTTGTTATATACTGATTCAAAGTGGTCGGCAAAAAGATTGGCAATGTCTGAGTTGTTTGAGGCTGATTGGTTAGGGGGGCAAGGTTGGGACAGGATTTGACGCGGGTGACCTCTCGCTCCCGGCCGTGGTTGCGGCCATGGTGGGGAGCGAGAGGTCGTGGAGGACGACGAGCGGGACCGCGAGGCGCGCGATCCCGCTCGTCGAGAGAGGAGGAGAGATACATCGGGAGCCGGAGCTGCGGCTCCTGTGGCTCCCGCCTTCGCGCGCGCGTCCGCCGGGGCCGCTGATGCATCATCATGGTCAATACTTTTTGGGAAGGTAAAACTGCATGGGAAAGTGTCTTGGAGGTCGCGTTTCTTTTCGTATATTAACCACATATACTTAATACCTGTTCGTGTAAGACAACGCTGTGGACTCAAAGGTGGCTAACTTGACTGAACGTTCGGTGGACCCACTGGTTTTTCTATAGTACATGTAGATGTAAATGGTATAGAGGTAGATGGGTATATTACTATGAAAAAATGTTAACATTTAGCTATATTTTATAAAATAGATCTTTATGTACTTGCAACATTCAAAATCATTACCTGTCTTAGATGTTAAATTCTGAAGTGTTGTAGTTTTTTTTTAAAATATATTTGATAATATATCGTATATTGTAAAATGCTGATGGCAAATACGAAAATTGTTGTATACCCTCATAGGATCCATTTCAAGAATTTTTTTACTTAAAATGACAACCCATTCCTTGAAACGTTCCTTACCCTTCATAGGATTTGGAAATATGTGTCGTACTGATGTTACATCATTTATAACTTAAAAACCAATTTTTCACGCGTACTAACATTGCTCAAGTCAGAATTGGCCGGCCGGAATGGTTCGAAATCAAAATATGGCGTAGCGTCCGGTAGCATCGGTCGCGTCGGAAGACGATAGACGCGTCCAACAGGAAATAGACGCTGTCAACACCATCTATCGCATACTTATGTCACTACATTGAGTTCAGCGCCGTCTGACGGTTTAGGGTAAAACAAATTCCGTGACGACAGCTCGCCCATAAGAGTGTCACGGCGGCCCTGACCCAGGGGCTGTGGACACTGTTATGGGACCGATTGGTACTATGGGGATATCAGCGCCACTGCGCAATTCCCCAAGACACTCGCCTAGGGAGTCTGCCCCAACAAGGTTGGCAGCGCCAACCTCGGGCCATATATAACCAAGAGTCGAGACGCCTTCCTCCTCTCCTTCCTCTTCTTCTATCGACTTCCGACTCTCGGTAGAGACGCACGTCTCTATCCGCCGCTCCCGATCTCGGGATGAATAAAGTTTTCTTTTACGAACACGTGTTATAACTCAGTGGTATCCTAGTGGTCCTCTACACCGTTCTGAGCTAGTTGGTTGCTCTCCAGTTACGCCGGTCACCCGTACTGGTAAAACCCAACATTGGTGACCCCGACGTGATACGAAGGACCACGTGCACGTGTCCGGAAGCCGGCGCACGTCTCTACGAAGACCACATTGGTGACCCCGGGAGCCGACACACGCTCTCGCTGAGACCAGCGCCCAGAAGATGAGTTCCAGGCGGCGCGCAGTCCGCTCGCTGCACGCTGTTCACCGGTTACAGGCGGCGAGCTATCCGCTCGCTGCATGACGTACATCGCCACGCAACGGATGCCGGCCTGGACATCACCAGGAGACGAGCTTTGCGATTGTTCGAGGAGCCAGTATTTCTCTCTCTGCTGTGACCCTTCGGAGGACGAGTCCGCCGGAGGATGCTGATTGCGTGAAGCCATCGACCACCGGCGCCTTTTCCACGGACCACGCCGGATCTGTACGAGCAAATAAAAACGCGCATAATCTCAAGCTTCTCGACGTCGGCAGAAGCGCGGTTACGCCGCCTCCTTAAGGGCGAGGTCCTTACAGAAGGAAAGCCCTCTCAAATCCTGACACGCCTCCGCAACCTAAACGACGGTTCGTGCAACGACGACGTCATTCGCACAATTTTCTTAGAGCAGCTTCCTGCTCAAGTCCGGGCGATTCTCGCCATGTCGCGGATCACGGATCCCCACGAGTTCGCGGAGCTGGCCGACGAGGTCATGGAAGCCTCCGGCTCAGCCATTGTTTCCGTATCTTCCGCGCCGTCGCGCGTTCCCGACGCCGCCGCGTTGGCCGTTTCCTCCGCGCCTTCGCGCATTTCGTCAAACCGCGAACTCGAGGACAAAGTAAATGCTCTCACAAAGCAAGTAGCCGACTTGGCGAACGCAGTGAGAAGAATGTCTCGCGACGTTCGTCGTCGCACCCCCTCTCGGGGAAGATCAGGCTCGCGCCCGAGAACGCGTGAGGACTCTCTCTGCCACTTCCACCGGAAGTTCGGAAAGGACGCACGAAACTGTGCGAAACCCTGTGCGTGGAACCCGGAAAACTAAAGTGCACTCGCCGCACGGAGGCAAGCGCGCCGAGTGCCGAGTTACACCGCCTCCATGTTCGAGATCGTGACCTCGGTCTCAGTTTCTTAATCGACACGGGTGCCGATCTCTCGCTTTTACCCGTTTCCGACGCCGCGAAGAAACGCGCGGCCAATTTGAAACTATACGCAGCAAACGAGACGAAAATCTCAACCTATGGGGAGAAGCGCCTAGCCCTCAATTTAGGCCTTCGCCGTGCCTTTACATGGAATTTCTGCGTAGCCGCGGTTCCGTACCCAATCCTCGGTGCAGATTTTCTAAACCATTATGGTCTCCTGGTCGATCTGCGTCATCGCAGATTGATCGATGCTTTATCACAGATCTCTACGGTCTGCACGATCAGACCATCTCCGCTGCTAGGCGTCAAGTCGATTGACCCTTCTCTACCTCTCGCGAAAATATTGTCAGAGTTTCCTAGTGTCATAGGACCGTCGCAGTCGCACTGCGATGCACCGCGCGATGTATTTCATCACATCGTGACAGAAGGTCCTCCCGTCGCCGAGCGCGCGCGACGGCTCTCTACGGAAAAACTCAAGGTCGCGAAAGCCGAGTTCCAACGGCTCGTAGCCGAAGGAACGTGTCGTCCCTCCAGCAGCCCTTGGGCAAGTCCCATCTATCTCGTTCCTAAGAAGGATGTGGGTTGGAGAATTTGCGCTGACTATCGCTGTTTGAACGCTGTAACCGTTCCCGATAGGTACCCGGTACCACACCTTCATGACTACTCAGTCAACCTTTTCGGGAAAACAGTGTTTTCTAAGCTCGATCTGCGGAGAGCTTCTCAGCAGATCCCAGTCGCACCGTCGCATGTCGCGAAAACCGCCGTGATCACCCCTTTCGGGTTGTATGAATATACTGTAATGCCTTTCGGCCTGCGCAACGCCGGGCAAACGTTCCAGCGGTACATTTGCCGCGCCCTCGGGGACCTTGATTACGTCTTCGCGTACATAGACGACATCCTCATTGCTTCCTCGAACCGCGAGGAGCATGAACGCCACCTCCATACCGTCTTGCAACGCCTACAAGAGCACGCGTTACAGCTGAATCTCGCCAAGTGCGAGTTTGGCAAGCCCAGCCTCGAGTTCTTAGGGCATATCATTGACCAGAACGGGTCCTCACCCATTCCTGACAAGATCAACGCCATTCGAGACTTTCCGAAGCCCAAAACGGTCGCAGACCTGCGCAGATTTCTGGGCATGGTCAATATTTATCGGCGTAGCCTTCGCAACGCCGCCGTAGTGCAAGCGCCCTTGCACGTGTATCTTCTCGAGTCCAAGAAGAACGACAAGCGTGAGATCTTCTGGACTTCGCAGGCAGAGGAAGCATTCGCACGAGTCAAATCTGACCTCGTGAACGCAACCCTGCTGAATCACCCTGCTCCCGACGCAGCAACACGCCTCGTCACCGACGCGTCCGATTTCGGAATGGGAGCGTCTCTGGAACAACGGTTCCAAGACGTGTGGAAACCATTAGCGTTCTTCTCACGGAAGTTCACCCCCTCTCAGCGGAAGTACAGCGCGTACGATCGCGAGCTAACCGCAGTGTTTGAGGCTCTCAAATACTTTCGCCACTTCCTGGAAGGTCGCGATTTCACGGTCGTCACCGACCATAAACCACTCACGTACGCGTTCCCACAACGCGCAGACAAGGCGTCGTCTCGTCAGCTACGCCAACTGTCCTTCATCTCGCAGTTTACTACGCGATTCGAGCATCTTCCCGGCTCCGCAAACGTCGTCGCCGACTCGTTATCGCGCGTCGATACCCTGCACCTCGCCGCGGACGTTTCCTTAGAGGAGCTCGCGAAACAGCAGGAAGCCGACGACGAGCTCAAAACTCTCTTGGCC